GTGTAGGGTACAGCCCATTGGTTTGCAATAGTCAGCATTGTTCTTGGACTGCTAAGCAAAATATATTTTCTGGCACAATCTTGGAAAGGCATTATTCATTATTCTGCATAGTTAGTCTTCTTTTATTGCTGAGTACTGATGTCCTTGAATCCACAATGCAGGTGGTCAGAGTGGCTGACTTCTAAGAGACTTGATAATTTTTACTCAATAATTTTCATAGGAATCTGCCTTATCCCAAGTCACACAATTGGTCCTTCTTGCCCTATCTTGCCAACAGTGACTGGCAGTAGCTCTACCTACTTCTGAGAGCAGTCTTTTCCACCCTAGCTTATGAATCAAGTGTGAGCAATGTGTGCCTCACCCAGATGTTGACGAGTCTTTTTGGGGAGAAAGGTATGCTATAAAGCAAATAAATAAACAGACAACCAACCAACCAACCCCCTCATCCCTTAACACTGACAGTGTTGACTAGGGCCAAGAGGAGTCATAATTCAACGACTAGTTGCCTAACCCTGTTGTAGGAACTGAGCCTGCTTTTGGATCCAAATCATATATTTCAGCACTCTACACTGGTCTTTCCTCAGGAGGTACACTTACTCTGTACTACGTTATACACAACATTTGTTTCATTTATAGTGATGAACATGTCATGCATGCAAGCATGCACATATGCATTTACCAGAGTATATAGGTTGGTGAGCTTCTGACACTGTTCATGGCTTAAACTTTGTAGAAGAGGGCAGTGGGATTGATTGCATGCTATGCACAAACTCATGCAACCATAGCTTTAACACTTCAAGTAAAACATGGAAAGTATCTTGAGAAAGAGGATTTTGGCATGGAGGTGCAGCAAGAGAAAGGTAGTTAACACACTCCTTCCCCCCCACCTCATAATCTCTTTGCTCCAATTCACGACTGTTCCATTGTTTTTTTAAGGCATTAGTCTCTTAAATATCCTACACATTTAAAAATTCTGTTGTGTAATTACCCTTATAGAAGGCAAATGGTGTAATTTACAGTGGCTTTTTACTACCAAAAGGACGTGGTGGTGCTGCGGGTTAAACCGCAGAAGCCTCTGTGCTACAAAGTCAAAAGACCTGCAGTCGTAAGATCGAAGCCACGTAATGGAGTGAGCTTCCCTCGCTTCTCCCAGCTCCTGCCAACCTATCATTTTGAAAGCATGCAAATGCAAGTAGATAAATAGGTACCACCTCGGTGGAAAGGTAACAGTGTTCCATGTATAAGTCGCATTAGCCATGTGACCACGGAAACTGTCTATGGACAAACGCTGGCTCTATGGCTCAGAAACAAGGATGAGCACTGCGCCCTAGAGTCAGACACGACTGGACTAAATGTCAAGGGGAACCTTTACCTTTACCTTTCACTGCCAATTAATGAGTCCTTGCTTAGATTTTTGGTGTGCATCAATATGGTGGGTCATTACATGCCTGAAAATCCAAGCAGAGATTCATCCACTGCTACTGAAGGGCCACTGTGAGTTATGCCACTGTTTGCCTTCTGCAGGGATAACCACACAACAGGATTTTAGCTATTGTATAGTTAGATCCCAAATAGCTTTATATTACTCCTACAGTGAAATTGCAGTCAGTTCCCATTCTTGCTCCTCTTAAGAAAGTTTCTGTTTGGCCTTTTAAGTCATTATAATTAATGGTTTTATTAAATTTTATTAATTTCTTATTAAATTATCCTAAAGGTAAGATGATAGCATATTTGAGTGCTATTTTGTAGTAGAAAGAAAGGATAAGCATAATAATAATCCTTTGGTATATTACTTAGCTATGATTTTTGTTGATTATATCTTAGCATATGCACACTTATTCTGTTAGCTTTTTTCTCTACCAGGAAAGAGTCCTCAAATTAATTATATATTAACAGGAATTCCTGATTTCAGTTTTTCTCACTCCAGGTTGATCTGACAGTTCTATGTTTTATAAACATTGTGAGGAAATTTCCAGTTTAATTTATTTATTTCTTGGCTTCTGCCTTTTTATTGGAATCATTGAGGAAACTGGGTGCTGTTCATCTTAGCTATTACGTATATTGTTCATTCAAATTTTATCAGAAAGAATCATGTCTTCCATTGTGTATTCAGCTTCAGACAAGGAAGGAAATGTACACATATGTAGCTGTGTATGAAGTCATAACTCTTCTCTTTTCTTTTTTCACTTTGTGGGGGAGGAGGAATGTGGTGGCCAAGAAAGGGATTATAACCAGTTTTTATGAGAGTACACCCTCAGCACTTTTTCTGTCTTTGCATACATTTATGGCTTAGTTGCAGAAAGCAACTGACCTTTTGAATATTCTGGGATAACAGTGAATCACGCATACAGATGTGACAAACAATAATTACACATAGTGTTCCTCTTTTTATAAGGCTAGCTGCCTGTGGTTTTGACCTCTGAGAACAGGTAAAGTTAAAGGTTCCCTTTGACAAATGGTCCAGTCGTCTGCCTCTAGGGCGCGGTTCTCATCCCCATTCCCAAGCCATAGAGCCAGTGTTTGTCCGTAGACAGTTTCCGTGGTCACGTGGCCAGTGTGACTAGACACGGAACGCCGTTGCCTTCCCACCGTGGTGGTACCTAGTTATCTATTCACATTTTTACATGCTTTCGAACTGCTAGGTTGGCAGGAGCTGGGACAAGCGGCAGGAGCTCACTCCGTCGCGTGGATTCGAACTGCTGATCTTACGACCTTGCAGCCCAGAGACTTTGTGGTTTAACCCGCAGCCCCACCACATCTGAGAACAAACTTCAGACTATTACCATCCTTGACTCTGACTATTCTAGCTGACTAATGAGTAAGCCATGAGAAATTCAGTTTCATAGAGTTTTCATAGCTCAAGTCTTTAATTGTGGAACAGGTATGTTACCAAAAAGGAAGTGTTACATATTTCATAGAATAAACTTTGGGGGGTTGGGGGAAGGAACCTTGGTGTTTTTCTTAATCATATGGAAATTATAAAAGAATTGAAGAGATTTGTCAGTCTAAGGTAAAGAGAAATGTTCCCTTGGGATATTGACACTGTAGGAGTCCAGTTTATTTCTTAGTCCAGAATCCTATTGCATTATACAGTCACGTAAGGGCAAGAGTGCAAGCAATGGGAGGCATTTTCCTGGCTGTCCATCATGTACTTGGTTTTTCTCTGGTTGTGCAATAGGTCATCTAGTAGGCAAACTATGAAAAGTGCTTAGGCACACATTTTTAACAGGATTTTCATCCTAATGTTTATCTGTAGGGAAAATGGTAAACTTCCTATTAAATAAGAATGGCTATTTTGGCAACCATTAGTCCATTACTGCCATGTTAATCACAATAATTATGTGATGAATAGTTTAGAAAAATACAGAAATAAATACTTGCAAACTATATTACTAATAGATGGTAATTTTATATACACTTCTCAGTCCGAAGGTTTATTATTCAGACATTTACATTTATATATCTATGAGCTTTTTCTGTTTGAAAGTTGCCCCTTCAAATAAAATTGTTCGTTTCCACACAATTTTTTTGGTTCCATAATTCACCACCAAAGTTGAGAATTCATATTATTAGGCCAAGTTAAAGGTTACACAGTAATGTGTCAGCTTCCATATTTTGCAAGATTCTTCATCAGGCAACATGGCTAGCACACCAAAAAGCCACGCCTATTCTTGCAGTCTTCAGATGGAAAGTGTGTAGAGATTATGGATGTTCAAATTAGACATCCTCAGATATTGAGATGGCTTCAGGTTACCTACAACTCTTCCAAGAATGAAGAATAAGTGCACACATACACACAAAGGTTACCTGTTATTTTAAAAAAGTATAAAATCCAGCTGTTAGATCTTTCTCAATTCTTGTGCAAAATGCACATTCTGTTTCTTCATGGCAGTGTTATGCAGCAGTAGAGAGGGGTGGTTTTTTTTTAAACAAAGCTAGAGATATATTTAGATAGCATACTAGATTTTTTTAAAATAGAGAAAGCTAAATTGAGAAGCGTTGGTAGGTAGCTGGTGAATAAAATCCCAGCTTCAGATGGTGTAAAATCTTCCCCCACTGTAGAATCCCACTGAATGGCTAAATATGGCATTCTCCTGATATTTCAGTGACTTAAAACCACTTGAGTACCCCATAGGAGTCCTCCTCAATCCCTTTGTTTGCTGACTTGCTTAGTGAAATTCTAAGGCTTGCACAGTTTCCTGTGACTTTTCAGCCTACCTAAATAGCAACAATAACAAAGAATGATATGGGTTTTGAATCCTAAGAGCCACTTCTTTCTTTCTTTCTTTCTTTCTTTCTTTCTTTCTTTCTTTCTTTCTTTCTTTCTTTCTTTCTTTCTTTCTTTCTTTCAAATCACCCATGCCATGAGGGTGGTTAAGGAGGAAGATGGTGCGTTTAATAGCAAATGTAGGTGGAGTGGGATTCTAATAAACCCAGGTAGGCAATTCAATTTATAACCTTTTATACATAGGGAGCAGAGGGGTTCATTTTGTTCAGCGTTTCATATTTCAGGATCTGCTCCGCTAACATAAATTAACGAATCTGATGTTGCAGCTCGGTTCCGTCTGTGGAGAACACACGTTTCGTGGGGAGAAAACTACAGATAGGTTTGAATTCCAGAAAACTAACGAAGAAGGCAAGAGATTGAGAGCAGCCGCTAGTAGAGATGTACCGACTTAAGCTAGGTTGGCAGCGGCCTCGCTGATTGACTGCCTGCCTGCCTCCAGAGCGAATCTCCCAGGAGATCTCTTTTGTGAGAGCTCATCTTTTCCTAAATCGGACCGGGATAATTATAGCTCGCTCGCTCTCTGCCTCCTGCACCAGCTCCCAACCCGCTTCAAGCGGGAGCGCGGCACAGCCCTGCATCCACAAGCCCGGAAATTGGAACAGACCGGCGATCGAGAGGCGGCGGCGGCGGCGGCGGGGGCGCCTCTGCCCCAGTCCACTCCCATCTGCGGGACAGAGATTTCGGAGCTGTCATGTCCGAGAAGAGCTGATTATGCAGGCAAGAACAGCCGACGCCGATTGGGCGTAGGGGGACCCCGAGCGGGAGGGAGGGACACAAAAGCGGGCGGGGAAGGACGAGAGTTGGACTTGCGGCGATGCCGTGTGAACCCGGGTCGGGGCGAGGCGCCGGGTCGCGTGTCCCGAGCTTTTTTGGCACGGTGCGCCTCTGAGGGGGTTTGGCTCCGTTCCGCCCGCCCGCCCGTTCGCGGGGCTGGATGAATTCCGAAGGGGACCTTCCTCCGCCCAGGAAGACTCGCCCGCCGTTGCTTCTTCCTCCGAGGGCTCTGACGCCGGAGACGAGCGGCATGCTCTAGCTTCGCCCGGCCACTGCGGCGGCTCTCCCGACTCGGCGCTGCGCCTCCGCCGGGCCGAACGGGGCGATGGAAATGAACATGAAGAAGTTCACGGTGCGCCGGTTCTTTTCGGTCTATCTCCGCAAGAAGTCTCGCTCCAAGAGCTCGAGCCTCAGCAGATTTGAGGTAAAAACAATAACAATAACGGTATGAATAATCGCTGTTGGGGGTGATCGTAACCTCACCAGCCTCTCAACAAGAGGCACCCCGTGTAGTAGTTCTTTTAAGTGACAGGTTTCACATTTTAATTTTCTTTACTTTTCTTTCTCGTGTGAAAATGCTTTTTGCTGGAAACAAGGTGGCAACTGTGATGCTGATGCGAGTCTTGGAGCATGAGGGGAAAAAATCTATTCAAATTGATGTTCTTGTAAGGGGGGATTCTCCCCCCCCCCATTTAAAAGGTTGGATACAGATCAGAATCTGCAAGAAGACTATTTCCTCAGTTTTCCTATTCTTTCTTTTAATTGTTGGCCCCATCAAATCAGTGGATGAAAAGTAAGGCCAGACTTTTGTAAATTCCTTTGATTCAATTAGTTGAGACTACTAGTTCATCTTTAGACTGTTACTGGTGGTAGTTTTGTTCTGTTTGTACCTCTGGCTGCGTCCAGTGAACGCAGGAGGCACTGGTTTGTCTCTCCCCCCCCTTTCCTGCAGGTACTACTGTATTTTGTTTTCACAACAGCCTTGTTTGAGTAGGCTGGGCTCAAAGACGGTGAGTGGCTCAAGGTTTCTCATTGATCTTTGTGCTGAGTGAGGTGCTGAAATACTGTAAATAGTTTAAAACTATACAGTAATTAGCCTGCCACATGAGCTCTAGCGCAGCAGTTTTTATGGATCTCTGGCTGCGGATGATTTGGGTGTTCATGCAGGGCAAAAGTAAACAGTAACTGTTCTTCATGTTGAAATGAGAAAGACGTAACTGGAAAGTCTTCTGAGTGGCTGACTATGTTCCTTACTCAGTTCAATAAGAAGCCTTATCTGCAGCATTTTGGATCATGTCAGTTTCTGTGGCCAGGGTTGCAGCTGTTCTTGCTACTAGAAGGAAGAGGGAGTATGATGCAAGGCATTGCAACTGTCTCTAGAAAGCACATTGTCCCATTATTACATAAGAACATCTATGATCAATGATCTATTTCAGTGGTTCTTAACCTTTGTTACTGGGATGTTTTTGAACTGCAACTCCCAGAAACTCCAGCCAGCACAGTTGGTGGTGAAGACTTCTGGGAGTTGCAGTCCAAAACTCCTGAGTAACCCAAGGTTAAGAACCAGTGATCTATTTAACATAAGGAGAGTTCTGCTGGATCAGGCCAAGGGCCCACCTAGTATCTTCCTGTATCTCACAGTGGCCCCACCAGATGCCCCTGGGAGCACACGAGACAATTAGATACCTGTCTCCTGATACCCCTCCCCTGCATCTGGCATTTTGATAGTGTATGTGTGTGTTCGTGCATGCACGCTCACTGTTATAACAGTTTATAACATAAACCTGTACATGTTTGCTCAAAAGTTAGGCACATCGATTTTAATGTGGTTTATTTCAAAGTAAGTTTGCACAGGATTGCAGCCTGAGAGCACAATCCTGCTCCTGCCTATTCAGAATTAATTTCATTGAGTTAAGTGGGATTTTCTCTCAGGTAAATGTGTATATGTTTGTTGTGGCCTTAGATAGATTTCTTGTTTTGCTCTTCTAGTTTCTCAATTTCTGCTACCAAATACAGCCATGGAGTCTTATTTACCATATAAGATTTTAAGGATATTGGCCCTGTGGGTGTTTTCATAGTGAGAAAAATGGCTTTCCTCTGCCTACTCTATATGTGTGGGCAGCACCAGGAAACATCTGGACTCAGTCCAGGTACCCCTGGCAGATTTCTCCCTAAAAAGAAAGTAGTCCTCTCTAAAGGAGTTATGGAGAAAACCTGAAATATGCCTTAAAGGTATAGGTAAAGGTTCCCCTTGAGTAAAGGTAAAGGTTCCCCTTGACAATTTTTGTCCAGTCGTGTTCGACTCTAGGGGGTGGTCCTCATCCCCGTTTCCAAGCCATAGAGCCAGCGTTTTGTCCGAAGACAATCTTCTGTGGTCATGTGGCCAGCATGACTAGAGACGGAACGCCGTTTACCTTCCCACTGAGATGGTACCTATTTATCTACTCACATTTTGCATGCTTTTGAACCGCTAGGTTGGTGGGACCTGGGACAAGCGACGGGGGCTAACTCCAACACGTAGATTTGATCTTACAACTGCAGGTCTTTTGACCTTGCAGCACAGAGGCTTCTGCAGTGTAACCAAAAATGAAAGACATTTTGTGGGCACAGTGGGTTTGTGTGTGTGTGTGTGTGTGTGTGTGTGTGTGTGTGTGTGTGTGTGTGTGTGTGTGTGTGTGTGTGTGTACACATATAAAAAATAAAAATATAATA